AGCAGCGCACTAGCAGCAGATCATCAGCAGCAGGCAGCAGTGAAGGTGCAGCAGTCAGCAGCAGTAGTTGCAGAAGCTGCAGATGCAGAAGTGCGTAGCAGCAGCAGTTGCTTCAGGAGCATCAGTAAGCAAACGAAACAGCAGCAGTAGTAGCAGCGCAGTAATTGCAGCAGCCGCAGCAGTAGCAGAGCAGTAGGCGCAGCAGCAATAAGCAGAAGCGTAGGCTGGACCAGCAGCAGAACAGCAGCATCAGTAGCTGTAGCAAGCAGCAGTTGGAGCCGCAGCAGCAGGCAGCAAAAGCAGCAGCAGCAGCAGTAGCAGCAGCAGCAGCAACAACCAGTAGCAGCGGCAGTAGTAGCAGCAGCAGCAGCAGCAATAGCAGCCAGCAGTAGTAGAAGCAGAAGCACCAGAGCGAGCAGCACTGGCAGGAGTAGCGTAGCTCAGTCAGGCAGCATAACAGCTGCAGAAGTAGCAGTAGCAGGCTGCTGCAGCACTAGGTGGCCAAATGGGGGCAAAAACACAATAAACAGAAGTAGCAGCTAGCAGTTGCAGACTGCAACGGCGTAGTAGATAGTGTGCAGCAGTAAGAGCAGTAGTAGCAGCAGGAGGCTAGCAGCAGCAGCAACAGCTCGTCAGCAGTAGCTGCAGGAGTCAGCGTAGCGCAGACAGTAGATGACCGCAGAGCAACCAGGTCGATAGCAGCCGGCAGCACGGTTGCAGCAGCAGTTGCAGCAGCAGCAGCAGCAGCTGCAGACCTACAGCAGCAGTAGCCAGCAGTAATAGCAGCAGCACAGCAGTAGCAGAAGCAGTTTGCAAAGCAGTAGGCAGCAGCAGCAATGCAGTAGCAGCATCAGCAGCAGCAGCCAGAAGCTGCAGAATCAGCATTAAGCAGTTGCAAGGAGCAGGTTGAGCAGCAGATGCAGCTAGCAGCACTAGTAGCAGTAGCAGCAGCAGTTCTGCAGTGGGAAGCAGCAATTTGCGCAGCAGTTGCAGCGCTGATGACGTAGTAGCAGGCTGTAGCAGTAACATGCAGAGTAGCAATGGAAGCAGCAGTTGCAGCAGCAGTAGCACTGTAACTGCAGTAGTAGTAGCAGTAGCAGCAGCAGCAGAAGTAGCAGCAGCAGTTGAGCAGCCAGCAGCAGCAGTGCAGCAGTAGTACGCAGCAGGAGCGCTGCAGCAACACGTCCGTAGCTGCAGCAGCAGCATTCCTACTAGCGGCAGTAGCAGCACCAGCAGCTGCAGAGTAGGCAAGCAGTAGTAGCGCAAAGCAGGAGCAGGCAGCTGCAACAACAGTCGTAGCAGCAGCAGCAGCAGCAGAAGTATAGCAGCAGCTGCAGTAGCAGCAGCTGCAGTAGCGCAGCAGCAGCAGCAGCAGTAGCAGCAGCAAGCAGCAGGAGCAGCGACAGCAGACAGTAGCAGCAGCAGCAGATTGCAGCAAGCGCAGCAGCATGCAGTTGCAGCAAGCAGTCAATCAACAACAGCTGCAGCAGCAGCAGCCAGCAGCAGCCATGCCCAGCAGTTGGCAGCAGCAGCAGTAGCAGCAGCTGCAGCAGCTGCAGAGCATAGCAGAGAAGATGCTTCTTTCTTCACACGCAAGGCAAGCAGCTAGCAGCAGCAGCAGCAGGCGCAGCAGCTGCAGTAGAAGCAGCAGCAGTTGCAGCCAGCAGCAGCAGCTGCAGAGCAGTAGCTCGCAGGCAACAACGCAACGCAGCAGGCAGCAGCAGCAGCATGCCAGGCAGCACAGCTGCATAAGCAGCTGCAGCAGCAGCAGTAGCAGCAGCCAGCAAGTGCAGCAAGCTGCATCAGTTTCAGTAGTGAGGGCAACAACTGTATTATTATGATGTGTTGTAGATGTTGGCTGAAGTTCTTACGGATATTTTTAGGAAGTCCTTCAACAAATGTCTTCTGTTATGCTTAATATTAGAAGTTCTTTAGGAAAGTTTTTTCTTAATGTTTATGAAGTTCCTTTAAGAAGTTATTCATAATTTTTAACAAGTTCTTTCAGAACAAAAATTCAGTAATGTCGAGCAAGTTCTTTTAGAAAGTTTTTCTATAATGCTTAAAAAGTTCGTTCTGAAAGTTTTTCAGGAGACTTTAGGAGGTTCTTCAAGTAACTTTGTCATCTTGGTCGTTAGTTTTTCTCTCTCATATGTGTGAGTGATTTGTGTAAGTTTTTCCTTATATTTTAGGACGATGTTTCAGATTTTTTTCCAAAGTGTTTAGGAAGTTCTTTCAGAAAGTTTTTCCATAGTATTTAGGAAATATTTTAGGATGTTTTTCTTGGGAATTTATCGAACATTTTCTGGTGATATTAAAGTATATGTAGTAAATGTTTTTAGCGACGACCAAAGGCAGTGCAAATTTTTTTTTAAAAATATCTTCAAATAAACCTTTTGTTCAAAATTATTACATAATTTTCCTGAATGTAGAGCATATAAATGAATAATATATTTACTGCGTATTATAATGTGATATCTATTTGGAACCTTATAGCAAATTTTGAGTGGGAAGGGGGAGGTGAACAGCCAAGAAAATGATGGAGAGAGAGATGCCAATAAGAATTAGTGTGTGAACTGGACTGAATAGTTGCGATGTAAGCAATCCGCTTCCCCTACGAGGTCACTTGAGGGTTTATCGACCTCTATCGTATTTTATAAATTGCTGACACGTTCCTGCTGAATGAATTGGGACTTAGTAGTGGATAAACCTACAAAATTGTTCAAACAGGATGGAAAAAACAGAGGACACCATTACTTTCCCAGGAAACACATCTCACGACTAAGTGACGATTACCCAAATGTACAGTTGTTTTGCATCTGCGCCAATCGTAAATTCTAGCTGCTAGGGAGTAAATAAACGTTAGGGTGTGTTTTATCGTCATTGCTCTTCTGTTCGTGACAAATAGCAATTATATGTGCATAATGATTATTGCGCTTAGGAGTTAGAATGGAGGAAGGACAGTTTGGTGCACCCACTGTGATTAAGTCGCATTACTCAAGATTATCTGCAGGTAATAAATTCAGGTATATACCCTTGTAAACCTCTGCAGGTAATTTACCAACCTTCTAACTTTTTAGCTTCATGGACACTGATAACTTACTATTAAAATATTATTCAATGTGAACTTTCTCTTTCGCACAAAAATAAGCAAAATCAGTAATTATTATATTCATAAAAAATTTTTGAAGTAGCCTCGTAGATGTGTAATAAGATGCTGGAATACATAGAAAAAATAGTAAGCATATTCAACTTATTATTAATTTCGTGTTGTGTACATCGCACTACATGTACGAGAGAAAAAAAACAACTTTTTTATTAACTTCATAGCTGGGAAGATTTCTTATTTAAACGAAGAAATAGTGTAAATGAATCCAAAAATAGATTGTCTCCCCACAAAATGATCATTATGAGGAAAAGCAGCGGCACTTACATCAAGGAAAATGCTGGGGTCACGTAAATTCCCTACTGTCTGGTTCCTCCGCCAAGTCATTCACTTTGATCGTCAATCTCCGCCACGTCAGTGTTGACATTGCTGTTAATATGCAGGATTTTCTTGACATGTCCGTTACGACGACTGAGACAATATTCGTGATATACTTTTGTTGAAGTATATTATATTCCGCCCTCAAATAAAATTGAATTATTTACGTAGGAAATCATATTTAGTGATTTTGAACGTAGTCAATATTGGCTATAATTTTTTACCTTAGCAATTTCAGGAGACGTTCTAAAAGATATTTTTAAGTGCAGTTACCCAAAAACTGCAAGACATTATTTAAGGTGCTTTTTAAATTTGCGATTTTCTCCGTTAAAATGGATGTTCAATTGGATATTACGTTCCTTAGATATTAATTCTCTCCGGAAAATTATTTTGTTTTCATTTTCGGAAGTTTGATATTGAGGATCAGAAAGAATTACGGTTGGCATAACAGTTTTGATTTTTTATGTCTGCCAAGAATGTGGAGAGAATCTTCAAATATTTCTTAAGGTTATGTTCTTTCTTTAAGACTCCTTCCTGTTCTTTTTCCATAATATCTTATGTTGCGTGTGTTGATGTGTGTGTGTATAAATATACATATATATTATATAATATTATATATATATATATATATATATATCATATATATATTATTTATATATAAACTATATATATGCGTATACAACGCCACTGTGAAAGGAGTAGTGATATGTTCCAAGCGCTTACTTGTCTACTCTCATGGCGTAAGGATAACTATGAAAAGTAATACATCAAAGGAAGGCAATTAAAGGCTTAGACTACACCTCACAGTCAACCCAAACAAAGAAAACACCTGGACGCGCGGACATTACGGACTCATAAGAAAGAGAACACTGCGTAGGTTCGCTGGTCCAACTAGGACAGGTCTCTACGACATCCCATAACAAAATATTCTACCAAGAATAAGGGTTATTATTTGTCCGAAACCAAATTTTATTAAAGTATAAATGAGTCTAATTTATATAAAACCTACAGGAATATTCGTATTATTTTCAAAACTGCTTTTTTATGAAACAAATTCAATTTATTTCTGTCGGTCCCATGGACTTGCTTGATACAAACTTATACATTATGCAAATCAATTGGTGGTTAAAATCTTACATGAATAAAGAGCATTGGAATCTTGTCCGTGTTCCTCTGTCAATTTATGTTGCTTTAATCTAAGTTCGAGATTTTTACCAGATTGGACCGTAAATAACTTTATCGCAAATTTTAGCAAGGACATCTTATATGACACAATCAATCAGCCATTTTGGGGGGAATTCCCTTTATCAAAAGTTGTTTTTACTGTATCAAGATTTTTAAATACAACTTTTAATAGATTAAATGTCTTAAGACGAGAAGTGCAATCACAAGTTTTTCATGGTAGGGAGAAACAACATATTTTTAGTTGAATAGGGCAGGTTGTCCTTTTGGGTTTAAAAAAGTATTTTCTAGAATTTTAAATGATTTAAGCAATTACATATTTCTCGGGTATTTTCAGATCAATTTATGAAATAGCCATTGATCTTGAAATACCATGAACTCTCTCATTATCATTGTTCTTGATAATGTGAGTAGTCATAAAGTGCTTGGCAATTTTTTTCTATTCTTTACAGTGGTTGTTTTGGCATATTTCTGAATCACCTGTTTACTGTGCTCTGATGCATATATATATTTATATTTACTATATATATATATATATTATATATCATATATATATATATATATATAATATATATTTATATTTTATATATATATACACACACACACTCACTTTTGTTTTTTGTGTGTTTTTCTTTTTTTTGTGTGTGTGTTTTGTGTGGGTTATTTGTGTGTGTGTGTGGGTTGTGTGTGCTGTGTGTGTGTGTGTGTGTGTGTGTGTGTTGGTGTGTGTGTTGTGTGTATTTGTGAGTGTTATTACATAAATGTGGTTGAGGGGTCGATTCATAGTGCCCGACTCCGTCTCTTCGTGGTCGTTACTGTGGGTGTGTATGTGTGTGTGTGTGTTACTCACCTAATTATGGTTGCAAGGTTCGTTTCATAGCTCATGGCCCTGCCTGTTTGTACTTAGTGTGTGTGTGCACTCACATGCAATTCCTGGCACCTTAAGCCTTGTGGGCCCTGTGTACTTAATCTTACAACTCTGTATGGAAACTGCCTGTGACCAGGCCTTCAATGGTGATTCAGGGTTGATCAACCAAGCTGTTACTGCTGGGCTGCTCGCAATCCAACATACGAGCACAGCCGATGATCACGGTCCCGACTTAAGAGTGCTTGTCCAGTACCTGCTTGAAGACTGCAGGGGGTCTTTGATATCCCCTCTTATGTATGCTGGGAGGCATTTTGAACAGTATCGGGCCCCTGGAAACATATGGTGTTGTCTCTTAACGTGCTAGTGACACCCTGCTTTTCATTGGGGGGATGTTGCATCGTCGGCCGAGATATTTTTCCACGGATTGCATTGAAGAAGCACTTCCTTATATCCTTCGTCTCGTCCTTAAATTTAGATATTAATTCTTTACGACGATTTAAAGTTGTCGTGCCCTCATTGTAGCACCTATCCTCTTTCCGCTCTCAAACAGCCTGTAATGTCTACCAATAAATCCTTTGAATATCTGTTCCTGGTATTATCACCGTATCAGTGATCATTCTGTCTCTTCAGTGTCTATATACACAATACAATTAACCTCTCTTTTTGCACATATCTTTTTGTTCTGGGAACTAGACTTGTTACATAACACTCCTAATTCGTCCCAATTCTTAATCTTGCTTTTCCATGTGTAACGTTTATTATGTATACTTCAAACATGGCCAGACATGTGTGCCGGAATGACTCTTTGTTGAGATCCAAGATGGGGCCGATAAGTGTTGATAGAATACCCAGGAATGACTCTTTGTTGAGATCCATGCATGTGGACAGGACATGTGTTGCATAAAATACCTGGAATGCATGTTGAGATTCCTTGTGAGTGTTGTGTGTGTGTGTGGTTTATGTCGGCTGCTTTTCTTTCTCGAGGTTGCTGTACGATATATAGTTTATTATAACGGACCTTGCTGCAATATTTTCTGAGGTCAGGGAGCGAAGTGTGGTCAGAATACCAAACAGGTTATCGTAGTTTTCGGTGGATGGTCACAAGGGAGAAGCCAAGCCTTAATAGCCTTTTGTGTGCCGAATCAACGTTTGCCGCCCACCACCGCGAACCCCGGGCGGCCATGGATGGGGTGTATAATTCAATGGTGGGACGAAGATGGTCAGGGACTGGACAGTGAGGGGCCCGACCAGGATGACCAAGGTTATTGTGGAGTTGAGCAAGGATGAGTTGAAAAGGGTTTAGAGTTGAGTGTAGTCGACTTCTTTCAGGAACGAAAGGTTGACTATGGATGGAGTTGGGTTGGACATGGGTGAGGAGGGTTTATCCAGGATGAGTATTCCAAAGTTTGTCCTTAAAAAGGCTTTTTCAGGTTTTCCAGGTTTAGGCTGGGCTTCAGATTTTTTGACTTAAGGTCATCCTTAATGTGGCCTTTTATTTGGCTCTTTTGGGAGAAATATTTGTAAGATACATATATATTTAATTCAGAGCTACAGTTGTCTTTATTAAATGCTTGAATTATTAAGACAGCATCCTCAGAGTCGAGACCAGTAGGCATCATGTTGAGTACTGCATTATATTGACATGTTCAGAACATGTACAACCCAATGTTGACTACTGCATTATATAGACATGTTCAGAACATGTGCAACCCAATGTTGACTACTACATTACATGGACAAGTTCAAAACATGTACAACCCAGTGTTGACTACTGCATTATATGGACATGTTCAGAACATGTACAACCCAATGTTGACTACTGCATTATATGGACATGTTCAGAACATGTACAACCCAATGTTGACTACTGTAGGGTTCTGACACGCTCAGAACTTTTAAAACCCAACAGCACTAGCTCACAGTATGTTCCATAGTTGTTTACACATAAACAAAAAGGATAAATGGAAGAACTCAGTGATGAAAGTATTGTGAGTGAGAGGAGAAAATTCTGTGGCTTACCGTCAGAGTTGACCTTCTTGCTGCAAATTGTACAATTAATGACAATAACACCTCGGGAAACTTTTGTAAATCTTTTACAGATCAACTTAATTATGTCAAATTTTTTTTTAAATAAAATATGTTTTACGAATTGCTTATCCTAGGACCAGCAGGCCGGTTCATAATTACACAGAAATAATCAGTAAATTTAGTAAAGGACTTGTATTAGGAAATGTAAAGATGCACAGGGCAATTTACATTATTTACAATATGTTATAATAGTATTCAAATATGAACAATATTTATGTTACAATATGTACTATGTACAATTGAAGACAGCCTGTACTGTCTGCACAGACAGCCTATGCTGTCTGCCAGCTTAGTTCATATTTTGCGGCACTAAGGTGCTGCCCTCTGTAGCCAGGCCTCTCAGTGGGCACGCCAGCCTGCCTGCCCTTGCTTCTCTCTCACTCTGGCGACACCCTTCACTCAAGACAGTAGTCCTGCTAGTAGCTCTCCCTCGTGGGATGGCCCTGCTCTGGCCATGGGTACAACACACAAGCCTGTGTACCCACCACGACTTAACAATAAAGTAAGAAGCCTCCGAAGAAGACGTATCATTCAACCACCCGCTTTCAGCTCTACCAAACAAACTCGTTATAAATGGTGGGAAGCGGTGGTCGCAGCAGTTGTTTGCCCGGAGAGAGGAAGGAAGGTATGAAGTCATCTTCACTTTATCACCCTATACAAGAAGCATCCGTCTCTCAACGAGTTATCCTGATGCCGTGTCTGCACGTTTGAGCATCCAGACACAGGTACAAGCAGGATCTAGCCGAAATTTGCCGAATTTCTTCGAAAATTGTAAGTGGCGTCCCAGTGACCCCACGCTACAGCGTCCTATGCTGTTTCTCAAGTCACGTGTTCAGCGACACTTGTATGTTGCTGCTGTTGTTCAGCTCAGCACAGCTGTTTCAGCAAGCCAGAGGTGAGTTTTGTGGTGATTTCTGCGTCCATGTGAGCTTCTCCACATGTTTGTGGGTGGGGGAGGAGTAGGAGGAAGTGGCCATTCCTCACCTTGCCCATGCTCGCTTTACTCACGCTCACCCGTCTACCATGCACTCACCACTGCCCACTCCCTCTGCTGTGTTTTCTGCTGTTTTCCGTGTGAATTCATTGCCAGAGCTGTGTATCCGAGTGCCCGAGGCCACTCGAAGCTACGTGGATCAGCATGCCACGTAGATCACGGCGCCACGTGGATCCCAACGCCATGCTGGGTGTGGGCGATGTCACGTGGACCTATGAAACCACGTGAGTTACCGAGCCAGATGTCCCAGGCCTCATGCTGTGGTCTGCTGCCTACATCACATTGATGTCACCGACGATGCTGCCTAATTTCATGACGTCACAATGTCTGCCTGACGTCACCTCGAGATGTCTGCTGACATCACAATGCTGCTGACGTCACCTCGCGACATCACGCCTGACATCACATGATGTCACATCAAGTGTTTCTAGTAATTATTTCAGTATTGTCGAGAAGATTGAGAGAAGATATATGTCGTGTGTTAATTAATTCCTCTGTCAGTGTTCTCACATGTTAGTGTACCGCATGTACTGCGGGTGTGTGTAGTTTCCGTGTGTCCAGTGAGGTCTGAGCCAGACCTGAGTAGCACCACTGTGCTAAGTCACCCGTGTGACCAGTGTGTTTGACAGCTGTTATCAGACTGCCCTGAGCCCGAGCCCTCTTGTACAGAAAGCTTTTATGCTAATCGCTCGTGATGTTCTGCAGAATCATACCTGCTACGATTCCCATTGAGATTTGTTTCACTTCACCTCCAGACCTTCAGAGTGCAGTTATATGTAGAGAAACTAGTCTGGGGACGCTTAGACTAACCTCTGCTATAACTGCCGAGGAGAATGACACTCGTCAAGCCGCAGTTAGCCCTGTCGGCAGGCGCTGTGTCAGCCTCGTGTCACAAACTTCAGTGAGCAGCCTGCACAAAGAAGATGCCACTTTGACTGCTAGCTCTCTCACTGTAGTCTGGTGTATGAGTTACAACTCCCAGATGTTTCGCCCGTCGTCTCTGCCACGACTCGCTCCACAACTCGCTCCATGCTTGCCGGCAGTGACAGCCAGCGACAGTACCAGTCGAGAAGTGTCCTCCTGAGTCGCTTGCCAGAAGTCCTGCCCAGTTGCCGAGTTTTGTCGACGCCTCACTCGAGGGCACCAGCATGTCGTGCCCCAGGTTGAGTGAAAACCTGCAGCGACTCCTATGATGACTGTTTCACCATTCCAGAGGAGACCGCACCCTGTTACATCACAGCTCAGCCGCAGCGATGTCTCCCGTGTTGCAGTATCTGTCCAGATGCAGGAAGGCGTGCAGTGATGCCCTTCGACGCTCACTGCCTTTGATCACGATGTTTAGCACACCTCACATGTTTTTTTCTTCCCTCCCTGTAGGAAGTTTTTTTTCCATGTCCATATGTATATATATGTTTTTACTTTGTGTT